GCAGGGTATAAAATTAACCCTCAAAAATCCATGGCTTTTCTGTATGCCAACAATGAGAAGAGTGTGGCTGACATCAGGAAAGCAACTCCATTCGTATTAGCCCCACAAAAAATAATTAGGAATTAGCCAAGAAGTGAAGGACCTCTATGATGAAAACTTTAAAAACCTGAAAAAGGAAATCGAAACAGAACTTAGAAAGTGGAAAAAACCTCCCATGCTCCTGGATTGGAAAGATCAACATCATGAAAATGACAATACTTCCCAAGGCTATCTACAAATTCAATGCGATACCTATCAATATTCCAACCTCATTCTTCAAGGAAATAGAAGCAATCCAAAAATTCATATGGAACAATAAAAGATCCCTAGTTTCAATGCTTTTTTTTTTCTGGTCCAGTCGTGGGGCCTGAACTCTGGGCCTGGGCGCTGTCCCTCAGCTCTTCAGCTCAAGGCTAGCGCTCTACCACTTGAGCCACAGCGCCACTTCCGGCTTTTTGCTTTTTGCTTATGTGGTGCTGAGGAATTGAACCCAGGGCCTCAGGCATGCAAGGCAAGCACTCTACCACTGAGCCACCTTCCCAGTCCTTTTTTTCTTTTTTAAAGAACTCTCCACCTGCTGCTTCCTCTATGAAGGCAGTTTTCCGCAGCATGGGCCCTTAAAAAATCCCAGCCATTCTTAGATATTCATGATTCTCACTTGAAGACCACTTAGATTGCAAAGTGGTCCTTAGGATTATAATCAAATAATAACAACGATAGCTAAAAGGTATTGAGTTCCAGCTATGTCATAGCTAGGTTGTATCCTTTATTCCCATTCTTTCAACCACTCTTTGCATTGGGGCTACTGAGATTTGGAGTGATGAAATGATTTGTTACATGAGTGGGTGTGGAGGGAATTGGAATCTAGGTCAGTTTGGCATAACTCAAAAGTGAAAAGAGGACCAGAGATATTAGGCAGCAGAAGAGAGTGGGCAGCAGGGGGAATGGGAGCTCAGGTAAAGGCAGGGTATGGCCCAGGAAGGTGTCTCTGGAGGAAAAAGCACCTTGTGGAAACCCATTGGGCTTAACAGGTGAAAGGTGGCTCAAAAAGCACAAATGTTGCCACATACACTGAGGGCTGCCACATACACATGGGCTTACTTCTGTCTGCAGCATAGGTCACACCACAAACCATCCCAGGGACAGAA